ACACACACACACACACACACACACACACACACACACACACACACACAATTCCCATGTCTTCAAAGATGTGTTCACTTACTTTCTAAGTCAGTGTGGCCAAGGGATCAATATGTTTAATTGCACATTTAATTACAAGTGAAAGTACTTCACGGAGGTTGAGTATCTACTCGGTGTTTCAGTGGGTTCAAAGTGAATTTGTGGTACTGCTGGTAACTCAGTTCTGTCTCTTAGAATGAAAAAGGTAACGACTTTCAGGAAGGTTAGTGATGTAGCCTTGCCAGGAGTTGGATGGGGAGGGAATGGCCATGTTTGGTGCTCATAGTCCGAAGTTCCACAGTTACCCGCTTATACACTGGAGTTGGTTACACTAGCCTTTGTGATCAGGAGGGGCAGATGCCTTGAGTAGGCATCACATCTTTAAAGAAAAATTTGGCCCTGAAAATCTGTGCTAGTTCTCACAACTACCCCCATTCTCTGCCTTGGGCTTCATCACTTGTGTGGCTCAGGGCAAATGACTTTTCTGTGTCCATTTCCCTGGCTACACATACAGACGTGCCCAGTACCTGCAACAAAACACTGCTACATCAATTAAACAAGTTAATTCCTTTAAAATGCCTCCTGTGATTAGTGCTGGCATGAATGGGGACACGACCATTCTCTGATCATCACTAGACTCAAGGGAGAGAAAAGCCTTTCCTAAGGACTGCAACACAGAAGTCAGACAGAGGCAGTAAGGGGTCCAGTCTTAAGGCATCACTGTCATACATGGAGTCTATTACTAACCAAAAATTTTGCTATATAGCAGATGACTGCAAAACATTCCTTAAGGGAATTGCTGTAGATGTATTTGAGTTGGGGAAACTGAACACAAAAGGTTAATTTTAAAAGCTTCTATTCCAGTTTGGGTTTTGAATTTGATGAAGTTCACAGTCAGTACAAACTAGCAAATTCAATATATTTCAAATATTTTGTGATATTTACTTTATGTCATTATTTATTTTATTTAGAATGAGCACACACACACACACACACACACACACACACACGCACACACACACACACCCCTGCCTTTATCTTTTCTCAAAACAGAAGTGCCTGACAGCAGGCATGGCGCTGGGAAAACAGTGAAGGTTGAGGGTGTGCGCTAGCTAGTTTTTTTTTGTCAACTTGACACAAGCTGGGGTCATCTGGAAAGAGCTCTCTGCAGTTGGAAAAAAATGCTCCTCTATCAGATTGGCTTGCATTTTCTTGATTAACTATTGATGTGGGAGGACCCAGCTCACTGTGGACAGTGAGGTCTTGGAGCAAGACTTTTGAAGGCTATTGAGGTCAGGCAATGGATGGCAAAGACCTGTTCTCCTCAAGAAACCCCAATAAGCCCCGGCAGAAGGCTGTAGAGAAGCCTCCTTGCAATGGAGAATTGAGGGTATTAGAGATGCCAGGATCAGGGGCTGTCCACAGAGGAAACATGTAGGCAGGGTGTGGAGGCATCCTAAGAGAGGCTGTAGGCACAGCAGGAGCGGCAAGGCCAGAGGAGACCAGGCGACACCACCAGGAGCCTTAGAAGCCCAAAATGGAATTGCAGGATCTTGTGTCTCCCATGCTAGGTTCAAACCCAACTTTTGTCCTGTCTTTCCTTGCTCTGCCCATATTCCTCCCTCTTGAATGAAAATGCCTATTTTGTGCTACTGTATATTGAACATACATGAGTTGGCTTTTAATTTTACAGGTTCCCACAATTATGAGATATCTTGAGTATCATAAAGGGCTTTGGGTTTTTAAGCAATTCGATTTCAAACTGTTAAGATTTAGGGGACTCTCACAGAGGAACTAAGTACACTTTGCATCATGAGGCAATCACGAGCCTTTGAGGCCCAGGGGTGGGATTTGGTAGTTTAAAGTGATATGTTTGAGGGCCAGGTTGACAAGGAATGGACTTGCGATGGCTGGTCTCCATTGCCAACCTGACCGGATTTAGAATCACCTAAGAGACACACCTGTGAGCGTGTTAGTGAGGGTGTGACCAGGTGCTGGGTTCAACTTAGGAGGGAAAATCTATCCTGAATGTGGGCAGTGCCAGGCAGGGATTGGAGTCTTTGAATATAAAGGAATGAGGACAAAAACAGCTGACTATCAGCACTTATTCCTCTGTTTCTTGATTTTGGACACAGTGTAATCCCCGCACCCCCAACCCCGATGCCTCAGTTTCTCTGCCATGATGGACGGTATCCCTTCTCTAACCGTGAGCTAAAGGAAATCCTCCTCTCTGAAGTTGCCTTTGTCAAGTGTTTTGTCAGAGAAATGATAACCTGGCCATTGCAGCCCATGGGGTGACACAGGCCTGTGGATGGCCAGCTTGTTCCTCCATGGAAAAGCTTAAAATACCTCCCCAGAACAGCGAAGGGAGAGGAGGCGATGTAGCGACAGGAAGTGAGGCCCACAGCATACAGCAGGCCCCCCTGGGAAACTTGGCACATTACAAGCAGAAATCTGACAGTCAGCAGGCTTTGCAGAATCATTGTTGCTTCCAGGGGAGGGAACTGAGGGGGCCCCTCTCCCCGGGAGTCAGATCCAGGGAGGAGACAGGAGGACTCTCAGAAGAAGAGTGAGGAAAGGCCCCCCTGCGCTCTGCCACCACATGCTCCACGGTGCCCAATGAGAGGCTGTTGCTGGGGAGAGAACACGTCTGGTACCACAGTGACCCTCTGAGAGGAAGGCAAGCAGGGGAGGCTTTGCCTCCCAGTTGCCAATAGCAACTCACACTCCCCTTGCAGGTCTGGCAACTTAGAGACTGCCATTACTTGTGGCTTTTCTGTTCCCTGCCCCTCTCTGTGTGCCTTTCCTCTGTTTAGCCAGGGTTGCTATGTCATTACCAGCTGATTGGGACTAATTAAACCTGCTCTGTGTGGTGGGCGTGTGCCTGTGGGTGGGAAACAGGAGGACGCCAGTCAAGGGCCTAAGCCTTAAGTCATATGAAAAGGGACAAATGACTTGTTCCTTTTCAGTTGAACAGGACAGGACTCGTGTCTAAAGGAAAAAATAGTAGGAGGTCACAGGCTGCTAGGAATTGTCTCCAATGCAAGAGGAACCAGAGATGTAAGACTATCAGGAGGCCATGCCACTTCTTGCCACTCTGCAGCAGGGGAGGGGAAGCACTGGATTTGTTACAGAAAAGTAAGACATAAAAGACCATGATATAAGTACAGATAGAAGTGACAGGCAGCATTGGGCACAAACCGAGGACCACACTTCCAGACCCACCTCATTGTTCACCATCCACATTCCCAACTTGCCCTACTCTCATGTAGTAGCTCTCTTCAGAACAAGTTGCCATTTTTTGGTCAGGGTAAGCTTTTTAAGAACAAAGGTTATACCATTGTACCAAAATAGAAAACCAGCATGCCCTGACATAAAGAAAAAGGGACTGAAAAAAACACAAAGAACCACAATTACCCATGCCAGAGACATCACATGGACCATTAGCAGGTCTGTGTGGGCGCACAGGGAACCACTGTCTTGAGGAACAGAAGGCAGCCAATCTAACCAGCTGACTCCAAATCATCACCATCTTCAAAGAAACGAGCCATGTTGTCAGGAAAACACAGCCCTGCAGTCATAAACTATGGTATTTTCTTTCTTTCTTTCTTTCTTTCTTTCTTTCTTTCTTTCTTTCTTTCTTTCTTTCTTTCTTTCTCCTTCCTTCCTTCCTTCCTTTCTCTTTCTTCTCTCTCTCTCTCTCTCTCTCTCTCTCTCTCTCTCTCTCTCTCAATACAGTATTCTGCCTGCATGTATGCCTGCATGCAGAAGAGGGCACCAATTTCATTATAGATGTTTATAAGCCACTATGTGGTTGCTGGGAATTGAACTCAAGACCTTTGGAAGAACAGCCAGTGCTCTGAACCTCTGAGCCATCTCTCCAGCCCCAAATCACAGCATTTTCATGCCATTACTCAGGCTCCATTTTGGCTAATAGTTCTTTGCCTTGAGGATAGGTTTGACAACTTGCTGGACAGACAGCAGGTAAGAAAGCTGCGAGAGCATGATGAGACTGTCACCTACCAAGTGGAATGCATTTAAAAAAATCTAGCCAGAAGGACCTAGGGATCAGAGGTAATTCATAAGAAGATCGCAGAGAGGCTGGGCAGAGGGCTCAGTCAGTTCGGTGCTTGTCGCGCAAGCATGAGGTCCTGAGTTCAGACCCCCAGAATTCACACAGAAAGAGAGCCAGGCATGGTGTGGTAGGATCATGTGCCTGTAATCCTCGCGCTCCGGAAACTGAGACAGGAGGATTGCTGGGGCGCACTGGCTAGCCAGACACATTGGTGAGGTCCAGGTTTAATAAAACACCCTGTCTATAAATGTAAGGTAGAAGAGCAACCATGAACAACCACCAAGGTCAACCCAAGGCCTTTGTGTACCAGCACACACGTGTACCTATAGACACATGTTCATACATACACACAAAAATGAAAGACAAATGAAAAGAAAGATCACAGAAAAAAACAAAAACAACAACAAAAAAAACTTCACCAAGATCTACAAAATACTGAAGGGTGAACTTACCACTTCTTGGACTTGAGGCGGGGCGCAGGGTTCCGGGGGATGAGGAAGAGGGCTCTCATGGGATGCATGTCACAGAGGGCTGCAGGAGACCAAAAACAAGGACCAGATCCAATCAGAGGCCAACCACAGTACCACCCTGGCTGGGCAAAGTGTGTACATGTCCATAAGGCACTTTCGAGCAAGGGGTTGGAGGACCTGGGTGCTTTCATTTGGCAAACAATCAAAGAGCTGATGTCTAATTAGACAGATCTCACGAAGCACACACTTCAGATACTAACATTCCTAAGGACCGCACCTTTACTTCGTAAGGAAAATAAGGTAAAGGGTCAACATCTAGCCATCTTTGCTGTAAGTAGCCATCTGTCCCTCAAAATATACAGCAGCAGATGAGAGCGAGATTGGAGTGGCTGAGTTTTGTTGTTGTTTGTTTGTTTGTTTTTTTAAACAAAAGCCTAAGCCACAATATGTGGCACCTGAACATTCGGCCAACGTAGCTGTCTTCCCCCAGGAGGCTCAGTTGAACACTGTTCCCTATGACTTTCCAGTACTCTGCCAGAACACCATTCTGTTCCCCAATGTTCCTAGTAGCTTTTCAGGTTGCATGATGTGCTTTGTTTGTAAATTCTCCGGCCCCAGGATGACCAGGGGATGAAGTCAGCTTATAAACATGATGTAATTGTTTATCATGAACACAGTCTGTGTTCTTATTTCAACCAATTCAGCTTATTAGCTTACTTTCTAACAGTGAGAATACAGTTGTTGGGTTCTCTTTTTTTAAACCAAGATTGAGAATATAAGCTCCCTCAATGCCAGAGGATTCTGTGGGTAGAGGGTATTTTTAGTCTTGTCTACCACTCAGGGTGATAACACAGCTTTAAGACTGTGGTATCTGAATTTTCTGACTCGAAAATGTCATTGTGAACAAAGGAAATTTTGTCAACAAACAGTCTGAGTCAATCAAGCTGCAGACAGTATTCCAGAAACTTAAGAAAAATAAGCAGGCAGCAATGGCTTAAAGGCAGAGAGTCCTAAGTCTAAGAATGAACTGTCCTGAAGGTGAAGGGTTTTTTTGTTGTTGTTGTTTGTTTGTTTGTTTTCAGTCCTAGTCCTGTGAGGAATAGCTGAGAAGGGGTGAAGGTGTGAGAATGCACACGCAGAGACATTACTGGGGCAAATTCTGTGTAAAGGGAGATAGGAGAAGGGTCCAGGAAAGGTGGGGAGTCAGGCCATTGTTATGCAGTTCTAGCCCTGGGTGCAGGAGGGAAGGGGGGGCCCCAGACTGTGCTGCAGTCCCTTCAGAGTCAGCGTGGGTGTTGCTTGAATCACAGCTGCCTGCAAAGTGAATCCTGTCTTTCAGGAGAGGCTGCGACTTGGTGTCTCTCCTGAGGTTGGCACTGATGGGGAGATGAAGGCTCAGTCAGGGAGGTCTTTGAGGTCCTGTCTGTCTCCCAGGCCACCACAGCAGTTGCCTGAGGTGTTCTTTGGTCCTAGTACTCAAAGTCCCAGGGCACTTGGGAAGTTGTCAAGATTGCCAGCATCTGGGACACAGCTCCAGTAAGGGCAGGGATATTTAAAACCATAAATAGTAGTATTTCCAGAAGCGGGAACCCTCTGAGTTCAGGTATTTGTGAGAGATACACCTGGGAATTTAGCTTTGGAGTTAAGTTTTGGACATGAGAGCAGACCTTGTTTGTGATCGCCCTGAGTTCTGTGTGAGATGGAGTACCTCCAGAATGAGCCACTCCCTAAGCGGGCAAAGCAAAAAAGACTCACCCCAGATTCACTCTCTTCTTTCCTAGCAAAACACAGATCCGCACACTGCTCAGAAATGAATAGATTCCTGGGTGATTTAAGCTGTCTCTGCTTTCTAAATATGCCACATCAGACCCATGCCGGGCTCAGTGTAGCAGAAGTAGGCCAACCACAGCCCTGGCAAGGAGCCCGCAGGACCTGCAGAACCAGCCAGCAGCAGATTTTACCCCAGAGGAAGGAACTTACGGGGAGCACCTTCTGCCATCTCGATGGCGGTGATTCCCAAGGACCACAAGTCACTCTGCAAGACAAGAAAGCACAGATACACACATAAAACTCAATCGACAGAGGACAATTTGGTTAAACCTGGTAATTACTTCAGAACTGCCTGTGGGGAAAGTAAATCCATTGTCTGTTTACAAACCCTGTTTCTCCCATCCAGCAGCAAAGCCAGAGAAGTCACGTACACATTTCAGTGCGCAAATTTTTCTAGCTGTCTGGCATATTATACGTTTCCAATCAATGCATAAAAAATATATATGAGGTTTTAAAATTTTAATTTATTACTGAGATTTATGTGTCAGTCGAACCATGTGAAATTTTGCTGTTTTCAATCTTTTTTTTTTTTTTTTTTTTAACTTGTGTAGAAGAGTGGGTTTCATGACGCCATCACTGCATCGGCCTAGCACATACTTTTCCTCCTCTCTCTTGTCAGTCCCCTCTTCTCCTCAACAGTCCCCATCATGTGCAGTTTATTCTCTTTTACTGATTTTTATTGGGCTGCGGCTGTTACGCAGTAAATGACACACGTACGAAGTACACCATTTGACGAGGCACGTCACTCCTGTGACGCCACCACCATCAAGGCAGCAAACATCACCTCCAGAAGACGGCACTCTCCCCCATGTAGCTTCCTCTTTCTTCCCCATCCTTCTTCCCACTCTCTAGGTGACTTACCCATCTGTTCTCTGTCACTGTAGATGGCTTCACCTCCTCCATTTTTTACAGAAAAGGAAGACAGCTGTTTGTTTCAAAGTGTTTGAAGGCTCTGCTTGTCGAACCATATCTTGGTGCCTCCTACCTTTTTGTCATTTACTAGTATTCTTACCAAGTGGATAAAATGGAGTTTGATCTCTCTTGCTGGCAGATATTTGGAGTGTCTCCAGTTTGGGCTACTCTATATGAAACAGTTGCATACCTTAATGTCTAGGTCTTGGACACAAGCTTTTATGTCTTCTGAATAAATACCAATAGTTAGAAGTGGCAGAACATTTAGTAGGTATTAGTCACATTCAACTGTGTTTAATGCACAACAATATGTTCCTTACTTTGATAGCATGAAGATGGGGTGTGCACGTGTGTTTCAGCCCGGGGAACCAAATGTTCTCTAGCTTTTTTATAAACTGCCATGGAGAAGCAGCCTTTAAGTCCTAACATGCCTCCTTAGCTTTGGACTGATTTTCATGCTATAACTGGAGATTTCCAGGCCAGTTCTTCCCTCTTTACCAGAGGAATTCCCACGTCTAAGAACATGAATGTTTTTCCACACTCTATCCGGGTGTGTTGGTCTGTAAGCACGGCATAGCCGGAATCATCAAGATGAGGAGGAGACTAGTGAGGTGAGCTCGGAAGAATGCTTGCTCTTCTCCCTCTGCATGATGGGTAAGAAAACGGAATGAGTCTGGTTCAGTGACCTGCATTTGGATAGCATCATCCATCACATTCTCACATCTTAGGGATTTCATGCACATTAGTCAGCATCCTCCTTGGACCATGCTCAAATTATAGATATCAAAGTGAAGCTTCCTCGCTATTTCCATCAAGCAGATGTCAAGGGCACAAGAAGGGGAGGGGGTGGTGAAAAGGTGTAAAAGGAAGGGAGCCATGGTATACATGCTGAGTTATTTCCTAGAACTAAACTTCTCAGGAGCCTGTGAATGACGGCCAGGGTTTTCAGTATTTGAGCAGAATTCCTTCCAATTTACAAAGGGATAGCCAGGGTGACTAGGCTCTCACCAGGGTGCAATCACTTTGAGTGGGTAGTGATGGGCAGAGTAAGGCACTGTGCTTAGATGCCAAGCCCCAACAGCACAGGGAATGTTGTTCTCTCTCTGCTGTCTTTCTGGATTCCCTCCAAAGCCCCATAGACCACTCCCACTCCCAGTGTGTGTACATCCCAGGAGACGACTGTTTCTTGTGTCTCCTGGCTTTGCTAAGCGAGTGCCAGGCTCACCTGCTACTGTTGCCACAGGAGTGCAGCTCGACAAAGATAAGAACACAGCTCTCTTGTACCTGGGTTTTCAGGCTGGCAGACAAAGATAGTCGAGTCATTCTCTGTGTGGGAGGTGTCATGCAGGAAACAGGGAAAAGAGCCTGGAAGTGGAGGTTCAGCATCAAAGGTCCCTGTACTGTTTTGATAACACTCCAGTGTCCTCTGGACTTGATATTTCCTCTAGCAGGTTCCCAATAGCCTAGGAATGGAGCATTTCTGTAGTCTGAATGAGGAAGTCAGGCTCTTGGCTGTTAACTGCCATGGCAGGGGTGGACCGAAATGGCCTTCAGGCTCAGTAAGCTTTGAGCTGGTGTGACAGTTCACACATTTGAAAGGAAATGATGGCCTCAACTGAGAGGGCTCCAGGCCAGGCTTTAGCTGGAGATAAAATGCTCAACACAGCCAGGCTCACTTCTGCCTCTGAGTTTCTGTTCAAACTTCCCTACATGGAAGGAGAGGTAACAAAGAGGACAGGTTCCCCAGGGATGTGCAAGTTTTCCCCTCCCGTCTCCTCTTCTCTAAGAAGTCTGGAACCCAGAAGATTCCCTACGCTGGTCCAACCACTATTCCTCATGCTAGTCGCTCACACAGGTGATTACCCTCACCATGCTGTCTATTGGTACATCGCTAGCTTACAGAATTCTGTGTCTATTCTTTATACCGTTTGTCTCAGTACACACACACTCGGGGTAGGAGAGAGAGAGAGAGAGAGAGAGAGAGAGAGAGAGAGAGAGAGAGAGAATAGGAGATAAGGAGAAAGACAGGGAGAGGGAGGGAGAAGAAGGGAGAGGGAGACACATAGAGAAAATAAGAACAAGAATAAGAATATGGAGGGGGTAATATAAGGCCTTGTATCCTAGATCTTTGTTTTGTTGACTGAACAGTACATAGTAGGCCCTTACTATGGACGTGCCGAATGAACAAACAAGGAGAAGGCACATGAGAGCTAGAAGCAAATGGTTCAGGCTGTCTGCCATCTACACAGATCACAGAGAAGCCAGGCTCCATGTATTAAATGGAGCTGGTGTCCCACTGCCATGGCCATTTCTCCTTTGACTCTTGTCACAATGCCAGGTCTTGAGTACTCATCTTTATCTTAAGTTAGCAACCCATAAACAGCTGCTGCTGATTCTTACTTTGTCAACAGGTGACTGAGGATTGTTGGAAGAACAAAGGTGCTGAGATTCAGTGAGGTTCCCATTCCTAGGTTACAAAACCAGCCTTGGCATCCTACAGGAAACGTAGGTTGGTAGAGAGAACAGGCTTTCAAAGCAGATAGAGCCAGATTCAGTCCCGGGTTCCTAATTTAGTGACTGGCAGAATGCTGCCCAGCTTAGCTTTTCAATGGCACAGGAGGTGCCGGTGGCATGCATGTTCTCAGGAACGCTGCCTAGCACAAAATCTGGTGCACAGCGGGACGCAAGCATATGGATTTTCTTTGCCTGTGCTGCTGGGTTAGGGTTCCTTGGCCTGACCGTTTGGTTGTCATGGTTTCCCTCCATGCAGTTGTGGCAGACACCATTTGTGGGTTAACCTGAAAGCAATTTTGACCCCACTCTCACGGCTACCTCCATTACAGGGTAGCCCATAGCTGCTTCTCCTGGCACCTCAGCAGTGAGTTAGATTTGTGAGCAGAGCTACAGCCAATGAGACATACAGAAACAGCCCTGGGCGCTTGTGCTTTTCCCAAAATAGGGAGCTAACACAGCTGGTGTCTTGGAAACTCCTTTCAACTTCTTAGTGCCTTGAATAAAAACATGGTGTCTGGAGTTATGCCATCCATCTTGCAACCCGAGGCAATACGCCAACTGATGAAGGATGCCAGGGCAGAAAGGTAGGAGGCAGAGTTTCTGAGGCTAGTCATGCTCCCTCATATCAGCTCAGGACTGCATGGCTCTAGACTTCTGGTGATGGAGTAAGAATGCCTCCAGCCAAAGGTACTTGCAAATAATCGTGTGTGTGTGTGTGTGTGTGTGTGTGTGCGTGTGTCCGTGCATGTGTCTATGTGTATGTTGATATGTGTAAAGATATATGTGCACGTTTTTTGTATGTATATGTCTGTGTACATGTGTTCATGTGTATGCATGCATACATGTGTGTATGTCCATGTAAGTACATGTAGTGTGTGTATGTATGTACATACACAGCAATAGTAGGAGAACACGTGAAGAGGCATAGTGTGTCAACAGGGGAATGGGAAGTCTCACCTGCTAGGCGTTCCTGGAACTGTACCATAGGAAGCAGGAATGGTGAGTAAAGAAGAGACGCCTCTCTTGGTTAGCCTTCCTGAAAACAGCAGCTTAAACCAGAGGCCCCACCATACCACCCAAACAACCTGTGCATCCTTGTCTCATCATATGACCAAGGCGGTCATGTGACTCTTGCTTTTTGAAGTCTTTATTTTACATTATTGTCAGGTTCATTTTGGACTGGAGTTATCCCATTTTCCAAAAAGAAATGTTTGTGTTCTTCAATTCTTGGTTGTATGTAGCCAAAGCTGCTTGTAAGCTCTGCTGTGTGTTGGAAAGCTATGAACGTCCCTGACAGACCTTGTTTAACCTTTAGATTCATTAGTAAATCCCAAACACACTTCAGAACTTAAAGGAGAAAAACGCTCCCATTACTGCTGGCAAGATGGATGACGGGAGATGAGCAGGGAGGAGGGAAAGACATGGGAGGAGAGGAAGGCAGACATCGTTTCCTTCGTGGCCACCCTGTGACTCACTCTGGCAGGAGTTTGGCAATTCATTATTTCAGCAGTGCTGTGCCGCCTGGCTTGCAGCATGATTAACAGCCCATCCCTGCTCACATTACAAACAGAACAGAGACAAATTCTGGTGCCTCTCAGAAGGCAGGCACAACGTACAGCTTCTGGCTGGGGCCTGGGGACAGTTGGTACACAGTACCTTGCACAAAACAAAAGAACATTCTTTCTCACTGGGCTGCCCAGCTCAGTGGGAGAGAGGCATCACTAGGCTAAAACTGCCACTCTAGATGAGGAACAGCATTGCCAGAACCTAGTGTGCTTC